GAAAGAGCTGGGATGGGGTGAGAGCGTGACTGCTGCTTTCAGCGTGTGATGGTACAAAAATGTATGCCACTTTTAAGTGACCATGAAATAGTGATCTCACTTGCAAGTTTTCAGAAGTTAATGGAAATAGAGAAAACGTGCTTCCTTTTCTTGCCACCAAGCAGCTATGCCTTTCTCCACTAGATGGTAGTGCAGCCCAGCTTTAACTTTTATCCCATGGGTTACCTGGTATGATTTCTTTCTAATTAAATGTGATATATGGTCTGAAGACTTATTTCCTTACTGCATTCACAACTCTGCTTTTGTGCTTTGCACAACACTAGAGACTTTTTCAGAAGTTCTGAATTATTGCTAATTCAGTTGTCATCTGTTTTTTTCAGATTTTCTGTCTTAAAAATTCCTCCATTATTCTTAAGAACTTACCTTTCCCTTTTTTATCTTCTGGCCATTTGAATTCCTGACTACTTCCCTCTATTGAGTTCCATGACATTTTCTTCCATTTTAATTTTAAAAGATTGTTTCATGGGAACTAATTTGGGTCAGTTATAGGTCAGCTTTCCAGAAGCTAATAATTGGAGATACTTAACTCGTATTCTCTAGGGATACTGTTTGAAGGTAGTGATTTAAATTAGTACTACAAATCCCTGGTCCACAACAAAATTTTGTTTAGGTGTTCAAGTGGTTCAAGTCCACTTGTCTACCTCTCTTTCCTGAAATAGCTACGCTTATGTTTTTCATCCAGGGCATCTCTTTCACCTGAAATAATGTTCCTGTGGAAAAAGAATTCTAACGGAAGAACTCTCTGACTTTTTAGCAATTCAGCTTTCTTGCATATTTTGTGAAAAGAAAAATCAGTGATCTGACACTGGCTTAATTATTCTGTGTACTAATCAACAGGTTCTGAAGCTGTAAATTTAGTTTTTATTATCAGGTTAAAAAGTTGGACGTTTCTGAGGAAATTAAAATTTTATCTGTCAATCGTACATTTCTAGGATTATGTAGGAAACACAAAGGGAAGTATACCTTTTGAGGCTAGCATCTAGAGAAACTGGAAGATTTTTTTCCTGCATCATGGCATACGCTATGTTCTAATTCTTTTCCTAACTTTAACCTACAGATATATTTGAAAGCCTAATGTGATTTTCTGTAAGATACAAAATTTCCACCAGTTTAAATAGTAAAAAGCACTTATAATTAAGAAACAGTGGCACAAATTTGAGAAAATCATGATTTTCATTTAAGTCATTATTGACATAATAGTGTCATAAAGCAGTTATCTCTCTTGGTCTGTATATTTAAAGAATATATTATTAATAAATATCCAGAATTAAATTCTTCTTTATAAACTTGCTTACCTTTTTTGTTTCTAAGGTGGTTTGCTGGAAATGTTCTGATTATAAGGCTTCTCTCGAATATGACAGCAATAAATTGAACAAAGTCTGTAAGGACTGCTATCATGTTATAACAGGTTGTACAGACAGTGAAGAAAAGAAGAAAAAAGGCATCTTGGAGGTACGTTACTTTAAAAACACTGAATGTGCATTGTTGCAAATAGTCTTGGCTCATCAATAGATGAAAAATGGTAGGATTTTTCCGTTCTAGAAGTAAATAGGAATGATAAATGGACCAAGGTCAGCCCATGCAATGGATTCTGCTTTTTACCATTCCTCTTTCATAATACTACTTTATTTCTCCAATCTTCTTTTAAAGTGGGAATTATAAGCCTTAGAACTAGTTTGCTTTTCTTCCAATTACATTAGCCAATGTGATTAAAATATTACCGTGCCTTATAAATCCCCTTTTTTTCCTTCTACACTTAAGCCAGCATAGCAACAAAACCCACTGCTACTATGATCAATTATTCTTGCAAACGTGTACTAAAACCTAAAGACTTGGGGACTGGAGAGAGGGCATTGGGAGAGAATTTCACTATGCAGGGTCTAAGCAGGATACTGTTTTGATCAGTGTATACAACTGTACCCCTTTAAGTCATCAAGTCATCAAGCTTTTAACACCTAAAAACTTGAGGGACCAATCTGAGCTGGGACACCCATGTTTCTCTTATGATCGGGGGAAAAATAGGCCTCTCTAAATTGCAATCAACCTTGACTTTTCTTAAATCTCCCTTGTTAGGCCCTTTTAAGATGCCTTAAATCTGTGAACACGTACACCTATGTTTATCTTGGAGGTACGGTAAAGACAGATTGACCCTTGAGGTGAATACTGACAGAAAGAGCCAGAAAAAATAAGATACAGATTGTAATTTCATATACAGTTCATAATCCATCTTGGCTTGACTCCATCAAAAAGTTTAAACAATGACACCAAGAATCACCATATGAAACACTTGCTTCTCTGAAACGCAAGCTTTCCTTCAAACTTGTGATAAAGGCTTAATATATTAGATGCAAAAGAGTAAAGAGTGCAGGATTCAACCAGCATATCTTACAGTCAAAAAGTTGTTTCTTGGCATGGCATCTTTATTAAGGTAGCTGAAGGAGCAAGCAACGGAGCCTCTTAGAAACATCCATCTGCATGACGGATGTCATGACCACAGAGTGGTTGGCTGTCATGTGGCAGCATCCAGTCAGCACCACTGCTTAAAAAAAATTCATGCCAAGGAAATCTTAACACAGAACCATCTTGTGTTCTTTCTGTTCTTCTCGAGATCGCTATTTAATCTGAGTAGCATGTCATTCTATCGTCCAATTTTAAGCAATTCACCTAATATTTTCTCTAGAATTAGTAATTGCGTTCTTATTTTATCCTTAGAAATGTATTTGCATTGCATTCTGTCATAATATTTTGACTGATGAAATAGAGTAGTTGTCATGTTGGATAGATAGTAGCACTTGAATGCCTAACATCAGGTTACCTTAGAAATAAGACATTGTTATAGATGCTAAGCTATGGAAAATGACTGTTCATCTGTGGTGGCAGAATGAGATCTAGAGTGATCTAGAAGCATATGACCTAAAAATACCGGTGTAAGAAGGAGCAGATTGCACATATGTTAAGACCATATATGTACGACTGAATGTATGTAATACATAAATATTCTGCCAAAATCCAGTCCTTCATCTTCTTAATTGCTCTTATGCAGATGTTAACCAAGGTTTCATAAGAGTGCTGTTGCATTTCAGCTTTGCTGTTTTATGCATTTTTCGTCTTTATTTGAGGAATGTTTATTGTCTTTTTCATGCGTTATACTGTCTCCTAGATTGAATCTGCTGAAGTCTCTGGAAACAGTGTAATATGTAGCTTTCTTCAATATATGGAAAAATCAAAGCCCTGGCAGAAAGCATGGTGTGTTATACCTAAACAGGAAGCCCTAGTGCTGTACATGTATGGTGCTCCACAGGTATGTGAAGTGGAAATTGAAAAGATTTTAATAATTACTTTTCATTGACACCTGAGGAAGAGAAGTCAAACAGCTTGGAAATGGAGGAAAAAAACCAGAAGTTTTTACAAACCTATACAGTAAAGCAAAGGTAGCGGGCAGATTGGTTTGTTTGTTCTTTTTTTTAATTGGACACTATCCCTTCTTTTTAGGATGTTAAAGCTCTGGCTACAATTCCACTTCTGGGCTATACAGTAGATGACACTCCAAGAAGTGCTGACCTCCCACACAGCTTCAAACTGACCCAGTCAAAGTCTGTACATAGCTTTGCTGCAGACAATGAGGAACTGAAACAGAAATGGCTAAAAGTTATCCATTTAGCTGTCAAAGGTGAGACACCAGAATGTCAAAATGAACTGCAAGTGAATTTAGAAGAGCAGCCTGAATCTTCTAAAAAATCTGAATGCTGAAGCTCAAGAGCACATGGTATTTTAAAAGATTTCAATTGAATTCGTGGTTAACCTTCCTTGTGTTAACCTTCCTTTGCTCAATCAAAAAAAAAAAAAAAAAAAAAGAAAGAAACAAACTTCTAACTACCATACACATCTTAGCACTTTATGTTTGGGAAATGTTTGGGAAAAATTCTGGTCTTTTTAGAGATCTTTTTCTTATATTTATGTTCTGTCAATAAAGGTGATATACAGGTCCATTTGAGAGACTTTTTAAAAAATGTGAATGCTATTAAAAATACCTTCTAACCGTAGCGTACTACTTGTTTGTCGTGATGCAAATTTTTTTTTGAAAATTCCAATTGCTATTTGATTAAAGTTTGCTGTTTTCATGAAGAATGCAAACACTGATGCTTCCTACTTACATGTTAGGACTGGCAACAGGATAAAAGATATACCTCCACATTGCCAAAATAGATCTGTAGTTAAATATACAGGGACAGTTTGGTTTAATGTATGTAGCTTATAGATCTAATTCCAGAGCTGTACATATGTTGTATTCATTTTTTTTTTTAATTAAAGTATTGCAAATTACTTTTACAGGTATATTGGCTTTTAAAGTTTCAATTGATCAAGAACACAGTCTAATGATTTTCAGTCTAGAATATCTAAAATATGAGAAAATGATATATAATATATGTACAGTATTAAAAATATAGAATTCTTGATTTTTGCTTTGATTTCATGATACTAGGTTCCTCTTAGTGAATAATTTATTTAAAAAGCATGTTTTCTATTTGAAATTAAACAGAGTCCTAAATTAACAAATACTATTCAGTGATTTGTTTTAATAGCTGACAGGTAATGATCTTAATATTTTTATGCATTAAAAAAATAGCAGTAACTTAAGTGGCATGCAATGGACAAGTAAGTTCCAGTTGTATTTAAAAGAGTAGTTGCTTTTCTTCAGTGTCTTATCACTGTTATCTTTTAAGAGTGTAGTAGTCCATTACTAAAAAGCAGTATGTGGTTTGAGAAAATGAACAGATTCTAGTAATCTTCTGGGTTCATATATTTTTGCTTTAATGATTATTGGAACATTTTGAACTTTCAAAAATATTTTAGCTTTTGCAGAAGGCTAGATATTGGAGTACTTAGTTATGACAAAAATTTTCCAAGGATTACTGTTGTAGTATGGAGCCTGTTTTATATGAATCCTGGTATGAAGTCTGAGCCTGCAAATCTCAAGTTGCATTAATAGACCTTATTTGCATTCTACTTCTGGGAATAAGGACTTGTGGGCCTTATGGTATAAGTCCACTGTGAACTTTCATTCCTATTAGGCTTTTTATATGTAGAGGCAAATGACCTCCCCAGTTGAGAATTTTCACTGTAACATCCTTGGATGAAATACAGTAAATACAGAGGTAGTGATTGACTATCAGATAGATCATTGAAATTGTTTCCATCTTTTCTTTTCTGACTCCTCAAAGGAAGGAAAATATTTAACTTCTACAATCAACTCTTCATGAGAATATTCAGCAATCTTACTTCTCAAATATAAATATAACTGATTTTAGAACATCTCAAGCTAAACAGCTTAGGTGAAGTCCAGTTTTGTGAGTAACACTAGGGCAGACTTAGACTGGACCCTTTTTATAACGAGATTTCAAAACAAAGTATTGACTAAACTCCCACTTTACCCTGTGACGCTTGTAAAGTTATTCCTTTTATTGAGCAGTCACCTCCATTTTATTGAGCAGTCACCTCCATTTTTAGTGTTGTACATACATGAGTGTAAAGAGTCTACCATTCTCTCCTACAGATTCCATGCAACTTAATGTTAGCGGGCTGAGTTTTGCTCTCACTCAGCACACATTCAAAATCTGCCATGGCCTTTAGACTTCAAAGCTTTACACTAGTATTGGTAATATCAGAGCATGGCCCTGTAGAGTAGGAACTCTACAGCTGACATTGTGCATGTCAGTTCTGAATTCTTCCCTGGGAATTCCATGTGTCTAGATTATTCTGCAGGTATCCCAGTTTGGTATTATTTTAATGTTATCTGATGTGCAAGCTCTTCTGTAATTCTCTGAGTATAAATTACTTCTACAGCAAGTTATATTTACCTTTAGTTATAGATTCGTGCTGCTGGGTGCAAACAAATCTTCATCCGGGTCTCCCCAGCTGTTTTGACATGTCTTGTGTACGCTTTGGTTAGGGATGGGGTAACATTCAGGTAAGCAAGAATGTTACGTCTATGGCTGTATTATCTTTCCATGGCTATCTCCTGAAAGTGGGTATGTCTTAAATACACTTGTGGGCTCTGCAGGGCCTTCTTACTACATCCTAACATATTATAACTTTGCTTCCCACATTCAAGTTGTTCAGTGTGAGGGGATAAGTTGCCTTAAGGAAGACCTTAAATAAGATGGATTGAGCTACACTCAAAATAATATGATGGAGTGATTGCAATCATGTAGCACATTATGTTTTCTAAGATCCTGCAAACTTCCTTCCGAGCCAAGTAGGAAGACTTATTCCAGCTAAATGATTAAGGAAAACTAAAAAGCAGCAACTTTTGGGCTGCCTTATTGCTGTAGTGGTACTGAGCAGAATCTGAGGCTGCTTGAATGGTTTCAACACCTCCCAAGTGAAGCCCTGTAGGTGGGCATAAACAGTTTGGAATAAAGCTAGCATTAGGAGTTACTTTTTTGGACGTTAGCCTCATGTTTGCTTTGAGCCGTTGAAGTTTATATAGTGGGGTATTTTATCTACCCTAGTGAGACTTATTTCATGTTCTCATAATTGATTGTACGCTCAGAATTGTTTTCCTCTGAGTCAGAATGTAACGACACTCAAATGTACGGTTCTTGTGTATTTTGGTGTACCACCAATTTTAAAGGAAATACAGAAGATGGAGAAGTTGCTTCTAGATTTAACCACTCCTCTAAATGTTTTACTCCGTTCTCCACGGACTAACCCACATACAGGATCCAAAACTTTTAAATTTTAAATTATGACTGCAGAGGGATAAGTTCAAAGCAATAGCTGCTGTGGCTTAATTATCATTACTAAAGTGGTGGATGAAAATCATAGTTCTAACATGGTATATGATGTTGTTCCCATTTCAGCTGTTAAACTGTAAAGAAAGCATTAATTTAACTTGCATATTCATTCATAATATACGAACGTACGTGAATAGCTCTGCTGTATTATTTAAGCTTCATGATTCCTGCGTTCAAGAAATGCTTGTTTCTCACTTTAAAAAATGATCACTGTCTTTTGTGCAATTTAAAGCTGATCAAACTTAATTTTGTGCGTTTTTGTACATGTTCAAACAGGACAACGGCTTAATTTTACCGTGACATTTGTTTGAAACATATTAATATATATTTCAATATGACTTAATATTTTTTTCTTATAGTAGAAAAATAGTATAACATGACATCAGCATGTCTGTACCATTCTTCCACATCTTCTAAAAATTCTTTTCTCATATCATGTACTCCTGCTTGGCTTGAGAAACTGCTGTAAAATCTCTAGCCTCTAGTAGTTTCAAACCACTTTACTTTGAGTAGTTCTGCTTATTCCAAAAGATATTTCATTTTTTGGTGTGCAAAATAAATATTGAGAACAGAAAATACTCTCTTCTGTTTGGAGTAAATATTAAACTACTTTAAAAACATGTAAAACATAGTGGCCCCATTTTATACAGAAACATCTCAAAGTGCTTTATATATCTCTTTGAAGATTCTAAATTCCTTTTATAGGACAGGGGATTTTTTCTTTTTGTATTGTTTCTAAAAAAATGCATGAAAGTGATGCACTCATTAAATGTAGGACAAACCACCACCACATGCATAAGCTTTAGAAGAGGTTATAGAATAGATATGGTCTAAAGAGTTCCAAGTGGAGTCAGGAAAAAAAAATATATACATACATATATACATACACACATATCTATATATGCACATGTATATATATGTTTATATCAGTGGAAAAGATGCAGAAACGTTTGACAGGTTCTTGGAGTGTTGTTGTTTTTCTAGTTGCAACCACATAGCTGGTATGAAAGCTGGTCAGCTTTTTTTCATTTCAAGACCAGGATAAATTTGATGAACAAAGAGAGAATTTCAGAGGCAATAGCCCAGTTTTTTCTTTGAGACTTCAGTTTTGGGAGTTTCTTGTATTAAAGGAAAAACTTTCAAGAAAAACAAACATTCCATGTATAAGTAATTCCAAGCAATAAAAAGGAGTTTTCTCCATAAAAAAAATATTTAAGAGGTCTTGAGCTGGTGTAAATTGGCATAGCCCTGTTAGAGCTACTATAGCTGCATGAATTTGTGATTTAAATTAATGTAGGGTCTGCCTTATATTATGTAAAGACATTTGCAGAAAATCAAGATTTCTCTAAATTAAGAGCAGCTGACTTACCGTGTCTCATCTGGAATCACAATGCTCAGCTGAACTTTGGACAAGTTTCAGTTGGACATAAGGGATGAAGGAGTGAGTGAGTGTAAACAGCTGGAAATACACCATCTGAAAACAAATGACTGGAGGAGAGAAATAATTTGTTGACTGTCCTTCAAATAAATCTACTAGGGATACGAGGTCAGTCTTCGCCTGTAGTGTACTGTTGTATCTGAAAACTAAAAAATGTATGGAGTTGTTTTTTCCTCCAGTCTGTGCCCTACTGATATGAGGAATTTACCTAGCTGGTTCTGACCCATAGGACTGTAGCGAAGTATATTCTTTGGATAGGACTTTCAGTCTGCTAGTCAAATTGTTCCCTAAATCTTTCTCCTGTAATAGAACATAATGGTAACTTAATGCACACGTATCTATTTTTTAAACTACTATAATATGCAGATGACCTGTTTTGGGCAGTATGGCAGTATTTTACAATCAAAAATACACTGTGATGCATTTAAAATGTAATCTGTATTGACAATGTCGAGTATACTTTTCAGGAGTAAAAAAAATCAAGCAAAGCGGACTTACTTTTCTAGTATGTTTACTATTTCCAACTAATTTAAAAAATAAGCTAAAATTCAGTAAGGCATTCAATCTGCTTTCTGTAAAACCTCTTGATTAAATTTATCCCCAAACTTATGCATGGCAGTTCGCTTTCATCCCTTCCTTTTCCTAGCACAAGTGAATGTAGACTGTGGTTTTTCTCTATTAAAACCTTCAAGCAGATTTCTATGAATAAAACATGTTTTCAGCCAGTGAGTAACACCAACCTACTTCAGTTTATAGTTC